ATAAAAATTAGAATTTTTAAAAGAGGAAACATTACAGAATAACTCCAATAATACAGAATAACGATTTTGAAAGAGAGAAACTTGTGAACAAAAAAACAGAAGAATAAATTAACAAGAACACAAGAATTCAGACATACTAAAGAATACTACATTTAATGAAAATAATTTAATATACTTTTAATAAGAAAAATTGAAGCATTTCATTAAGAGCAACAAAAATGGTTGAAGAAACACATCGTCTAAGAAATATAGATTGCTGCATATTGTGGCAAAACTTCAATCAGCGGTATGCTGTACCTATTTAATATAGCGTTCATGAGGTAAGTGACATACAGTTCACAATCTAAAGTACAAAGGGAAATATTTACAATACCTGTTAACAAGTGAGTATAGAACAATAATTCATTTCCTTCAAGGCCTTCTATTAGTTCCCAGAGTTGCTGTCCATTCAAGACCTGCCCCTTAAACGTCGGATATCCTGTATTATAATCCTCAAATTTATTAAACCATTACTGCAGTATTACTTTGACAAGTATAGCATACCACACCTAAACTTGTTCAAATTGACAAATGGCATCACACCATATAAGAGGCCTCAGTCTTGAGAGACTGAAACAAAAATTAAGGGCTTGGCTTGCCTGTATGATTCGAAAACTGCACGGAGTTAATTGGATCCACATCGTAGCCCAGTAATTGCAGAGGGAAGACAGCCGATTTATTGCAAACATACCCCTAAGAATAATAAACAAGCAGCCACAATGTCAAGGTAAGTACTTAGCCAGCTGCATTCAACTGGCAATGACATTCAATTCATTATTAATACCAATTACCAAAGTTATAGTTGCATAGAATTTTACTACCAATAAGAAGAAACCAAGAATACCATTTTTCTCAATCCAAAACATCATGCATGTTAAGAGACATAAACGTTATCAATATTTTTCCAGAACATTTGTTATAAGAACAGCTCAATGCAATGATTTCACTGTAGGCAACAATATTCTTCATTCAACAAGCAGTCGGTGACATCTTCAACGAACATTCAATGTATTAAAGAAGCAATCGAGGAGTAAACGCTGAAGAGAAAAACCTGAACGGTGTGAGATTGAATGCTGAGAACTCGACCGGTGTCGGAGGGAAGAGCAATGGAGAGGATTGGAGGCGCCATGTATGAATTCGCGGAGTTTCTTGCCCTTGAAATTGAGAGAGAAGAAAATGGAAATCGGTCGAAGAAGATGAAAATTGGAATGGAAAGCAAGTGCGGCGAGGTTGAAAAAGTTGGGAGTTGTGTGAGAGTAATTTTACCGGAAAATGCGAGTTTCACGGGAAAATCTGAAGTTGGATTGGTCTGAGAGCAGCGAAGGCTTTAACAGCATGGAGCAGTGTTCAACGCTAAGCCAGCCAACTCCTCCGTCCACATTCATTCGTTCGTTCATTCATTCATATTATAATCCAATATTCTGAAATTAAAAATGAAATAGATGACGTTGATGACACTTTTCATATATTATTACTTTTGTACAAGTTAGGTTTAAATTGCTCTTAGACTATAAGTTTTTATTCCAGCCTAACTTAACTTTAATTGGATTATTACTTGAGTTAACTTTGTATTTTTCTTATTTTCTTGTCTTGTTTCCTTTTTACCTTCTTTTTCTTCTTCTATAATGTCTCCTGAACTTTTTTCTTTCTTTCTTAAAATTAAAAATATCGAATAATTATATTTAAGTTTGAAAGTTCCTTTTTGAGTTTAATTATAAATATTTCTAAAACCTGAGATTTTGTTTCACACGTAATAAAAAACAGACGCTGACCAAAACATGGCAAACAATCTGTGTTAGGTGGAAAGTACTACTTCCCAAGTCACATTTGGATCACTATCATTTAAAAACTTGGATTGAATAAAAGACTTTGGGTGCATTACGTGAAATGTATTTGAATAAAAAAAATCAAT